ATTCCCAAGCAATAAGCTTTGATAATTCTATTCACTCATACGCAAGTCCCAATCAAATCAAATCGTGTGTGTGGGGAAATACCCTGGCTGGTGTGTGGGAAAGTACCCTGGCTGGTGTGTGGGGAAGTACCCTGGCTAGTGTGTGGGGAAGTACCCTTGCTGGTGTGTGGGGAAGTACCCTGGCTGCTGTGTGGTGAAGTACCCTGGCTGGTGTGTGGGGAAGTACCCTGGCTGCTGTGTGGGGGAGTACCTTGGCTGGTGTGTGGGGGAAGTACCCTGGTTGGTGTGTGGGAAAGTACCCTGGCTGGTGTACATAAGAAAGCAGGAACACTGCAGCAGACCTGTTGGCCCATACTACCACCATCACTACCACCATCACTACCACCCTCTACCACCACCACTTTTGTATCTTTCTACAAAATTTTTCTTGAATTCTATAGTGTTTCTCACCCTCTTTACCAAAGGGCTGGCACTAAAAGGTTTATTTGGGCCCAAGGTGGCTTATTTAGCAGTTACAAGCACTAAAAACGAAGGAATAATACAAAATGTATCGCATGTACCCGTGGAATCGTCCTCACTGGCTGGTAAACAGTGGCACACTGGCTGTACATGGAGTGTCCGGGCCGCTTATGGCATGTGGACACATTCAGGACGAACGACTTTTACCAAGTTCAGTGTCATTAACTGAGCCAATATTTTGATGCAAAAATGTTACTTAATCCAATTATTACTTAATCCAATGACGTCTTAATCCAGGTGTCAGCTGTACATGACATTGAGAAAAAGGAAAGGGAGGAAGAGAAATCTATAGCAATAAAGGAATAACAGGAAAAGTCGGTTGATGGATCTATAATTTCCTCACTAACAGAACACAGAGAGTAGTCGTCAACAGAGTAAAGTCCGAGGCAGCTACGGTGAAAAGCTCTGTTCCACAAGGCACAGTACTCGCTCCCATCTTGTTCCTCATCCTCATATCCGACATAGACAAGGATGTCAGCCACAGCACCGTGTCTTCCTTTGCAGATGATACCCGAATCTGCATGACAGTCTTCCATTGCAGACACTGCAAGGCTCCAGGCGGACATCAACCAAATCTTTCAGTGGGCTGCAGAAAACAATATGAAGTTCAACGATGAGAAATTTCAATTACTCAGATATGGTAAACACGAGGAAATTAAATCTTCATCAGAGTACAAAACAAATTCTGGCCACAAAATAGAGCAAAACACCAACATCAAAGACCTGGGAGTGATCATGTCGGAGGATCTTACCTTCAAGGACCATAACATTGTATCAATCACATCTGCTAGAAAAATGACAGGATGGATAATGAGAACCTTCAAAACTAGGGAGGCCAAGCCCATGATGACACTCTTCAGGTCACTTGTTCTATCTAGGCTGGAATATTGCTGCACACTAGCAACACCTTTCAAGGCAGGTGAAATTGCTGACCTAGAAAATGTACAGAGAACCTTCACGGCGCGCATAACGGAGATAAAACACCTCAATTACTGGGAGCACTTGAGGTTCCTAAACCTGTATTCCCTGGAACGCAGGCGGGAGAGATGCATGATTATATACACCTGGAAAATCCTAGAGGGACTAGTACCGAACTTGCACACGAAAATCACTCACTACGAAAACAAAAGACTTGGCAGACGATGCAACATCCCCCCAATGAAAAGCAGGGGTATCACTAGCACGTTAAGAGACCATACAATAAGTGTCAGGGGCCCAAGACTGTTCAACTGCCTCCCCTAGCAGTCTTCAAGCTGGCACTGGACAAGCACCTAAAGTCGGTTCCTGACCAGCCGGGCTGTGGCTCGTACGTTGGTTTGCGTGCAGCCAGCAGTAACAGCCTGGTTGATCAGGCTCTGATCCACCAGGAGGCCTGGTCACAGACCGGGCCATAGGGGCGTTGACCCCTGGAACTCTCTCCAGGTAAACTCCAGGTACCGAACTTAGGTAATGTCAGAAAAACCAGAAGAAATATTCTTAGATGAAAGAAAAGATAATGCAGATCAGGTGGCAGAACTTGGGAAGGAGCCAGACTCAGTAAATATAGGCAGTCAGAACATTTGCAGATACTATGCAGAAGGTATGTGCCTATATGGCAGAGCTTGCTGGAAAAAAACACAACAGAAAATGTGTGAACATGTTGAGAGAAGGAAAGTGTCGTTTTGACAATGAGTGCAGGTACGTCCACCCAGTGATGTGCAAAGCTTCAACACAGTTCAGAGAATGTTCTGTGCTAATGCTAGTGGGGATTCTAAAGTGAAGCCTTTACTAGTGTATCACTCAGAAAATCCCAGAGTGTTTAAGAAAAATAATGTCATTAAGAACAAGTTATGTGTCTTGTGGAAAGCAAATAATAAGGCATGGGTCACGAGGCAAATTTTCGAAGAGTGGGTCCATGAAGTGTTTGGCCCCAATGTGAGAAAATACCTCCTGGAAAATAATTTGCCACTAAAGTGCCTCCTTTTACTGAACAGTGCTCCTGCACATCCTCCAAACTTGGTAAACCTACTGTCTAGGGACTACAGTTTCATCACAGTCAAGTTCTTGCCTCCTAACACCACTCCTCTCCTCCAGCCCATGGACCAGCAGGTCATTTCTAACTTCAAAAAACTCTACACAAAAGCAGTGTTTGAAAAGTGCTTTGAAGTGACCACAGACACTAAGTTGACTCTAAGAGAGTTCTGGAGGAATCAATTCAGTATCTACACCTTCATAAGCCTTGTAGGTAAAGCTTGGGAGGGAGTGACTTCCAGGACTTTGAACTCTGCTTGGAGACAATTGTGACCACAATGGGTTGTCTAAAAGGATTTTGAGGAGTTTGAGGCTGACCCTGACCCTGCCGACCCTCTGCCTGTTTTGGAAGATATTGTGGCATTGGGCAAGTCCATGGGGTTGGAGGTGAGTGGCGAGGATGTGGAAGAGTTGGTGGACGACCACAGGGAAGAGCTAACCACTGAAGAGCTGCAAGAGCTTCATCTGGAACAGTATCAGACCACAGTTCAGGAACTTGCTTCAGAGGAGGAGGAAGAGGGAGTGGATGAGGTGCCTTCTTCACAGATTAAGGAGATTTGTGCCAAGTGGAATGATGTGCAAACGTTTGTGGAGAAGTACCACCCTGAGCAAGCTGAAACAAGCCATCTTTGCAACAAGTTCAGTGACAGAACCATGTCCCATTTTAGGGAAATCTTAAGAGGCACCAGAAACAGAGGACTGTGGACAATTATTTTGTGAGACAGGGGTCCAGTGACTCTCAAGCTGGTCCTAGTGGCATTAAAAGACAGAGAAGGGAAGTAACCCCAGAGAAGGCTTTGATACCTGAAGTCTTTATGGAGGGGGATTCCCCTTCCAAACAGTAAGCCCTCTCTCACTCCTCCCTATCTTCCAGATGCCATCAACAATCTTCAATAAAGGTAAGTAAAAATGTTATTTTATATGTGTATTTAAATTTTTATTTATAAATTACTGTATGTTTGTTGTGTGTATATAAAACTGTAATGTAATCTCTATAAAATTAATTTTTTTGTGAATATTTCTGGGTTTCTTGAGCTGATTATGTAATTGTATTTACATTATTTCTTGTCGGAAATATTGCTTCAACTTTCGAACGTTTCGACTTTGGAACTAGCTCCTGGAACAGATTAAGTTCGAAACTCGGGGTTCCGCTGTATATCATAGCCCTGTGCTATACTCCATTTTCTCTAACATAAGCCTCAAAGATGAATAGGTGGATTGTACTTGTATCCCATATCCTCTTCATACCTCTGTTGATCCGCTCGGTATTATGCCAAATATTATTCATTCTGAAGTATTTACAACGTTTAACGTTTTTGTTATTTACACCTACCATCCGACTTACGACCTGCTCGACTTACGACCACTCGACTTACGACCGTGTTTTTTATGCCAAATTTCTGGGAAATAAACAACTACAGTGGACCCCCGGTTAACGAACTTTTTTCATTCCAGTAGTATGTTCAGGTGCCAGTACTGACCGAATTTTTTCCCATAAGGAATATTGTGAAGTAGATTAGTCCATTTCAGACCCCCAAACATACACGTACAAACGCACTTACATAAATACACTTACATAATTGGTCGCATTTGGAGGTGATCGTTAAGCGGGGGTCCACTGTATTTGTGTTGTACACAGTGTTTATCCTAAACCTTACAGTATAAAATACAGTACTAACAACATAAAAAGTAAAGTAAAACATGAAATACCAAAATAAAACAATAAAATAAAGTCATTACAAAAATGTTTTGTTGATATTCAGTAGTAAAGTTCGACTTACGACCATTTCGACTTACGACCGGTTTCTCGGAACCTAACTCGGTCGTAAGTCAGATGGTAGGTGTATATTGTTTATTATGTCATATTAGATCAGTTGTGATAGGTAAATAAGCCGTAGTTTTGACATTAATGTAATAATAAAGCATATTCCCCTGCATCACGAGACTGAGCTCATGGCGACCGAGAGTGGCTTCAAAGCCACCTTATCTTTTATGGACAATGTTCTGAGTATGTGCTTTACACAACAAGAAACATTTCTTTATTCGTTGGAACCGTGGCTAGGGCTATCAGTGAGCAAGTTATAACAATTAATGGAGAAAAAGATATTGGAATGACTTATGCAGCAAGTAGCGCCACCAAGCAGTACCAGCAGTTTGGTGTGGAAACCCTGGAAATTTGCTAGCCAAAATTAGCGCTGAATAACTGATTGCTAGATTTGTGATGGCGGACCTGTACCACAGGATGGTAGTACCTCCCTGGGTGGTTTCTGTCAACCAACCTTCTACCCCAGGATGGTAGTACCTCCGTGGGTGGTTGCTGTCTACCAACCTACTACCCCAGGATGGTAGTACCTCTGTGGGTGGTTGCTGTTTACCAACCTACTACCCTAGGATGGTAGTACTACGTAACCTCTGTGGGTGGTTGCTGTCTACCAACCTACTACCTACTAATACATGATCTTACTTTCCAGATTGTGAAGAGAGCGAATGATTCAGCATCATCTCAGTCATTATCACTCATTCGACCATCTACCAGCAAGTGAACCAGTCACTACTGATACTTAACAGTTACTAGTGTAAGTTGCTACAGTCACTATTGATACTTAACAGTTACTACAGTCAATACTGATACTTAACAATTACTGTTTATCATATACCTTTTCCAAATCCATAAATGCCACAAAATCCTCTTTACCCTTATCTATTTGTTTCACTGTAAACACTTGGTCTACACACCTCCTACCCTTCCTAAAGCCTCCTTGTTCATCTGGATTCCTGCTCTCTGACTTATTCTTAACCCTTTGACTGTCGCGGCCGTATATATACGTCTTACGAGGTACCGTGTTTGACGTATATATACTCATAAATTCTAGCGGCTTCAAATCAAGCAGGAGAAAGCTGGTAGGCCCACATGTGAGAGAATGGATCTGTGTGATCAGTGTGCACCATATAAAAAAAATCCTGGAGCACGCAGTGCATAATGAGAAATGGTTGTAATAAAGTTGGTAGAATTACCGACAATATGTAAAGTAAAAGGACACAAGTGCAACTAATGTGACATTTATTGTGGCAACATTTCACTCTCCAGGAGCTTTATCAAGCTCCTGGAGAGCGAAACGTTGCCACAATAAATGTCACATTAGTTGCACTTGTGTCCTTTTACTTTACATAATGAGAAAAAAAAAACTGACCGATTTTTTTAATTAAAATGCCGACTTTGTGGTCTATTTTCGTATAGTATTTATGGTTGTATTCTGGTTTTCTTGGTCTCATTTGATAGAATGGAAAACATATTATAGAAATAGAGGTGATTTTGATTGATTTTACTATAAAAAGAACCTAGAAATGGAGCTCAAAGTAGGGGAAATGTTTGATTTTTGCCAATGTTCAAAAGTAAACAAATGATGCCATTGTCCAATAAATGTCCAACTAGCCATTCTAATATGCAGTCATGAATGGGTTGATGTTATTTATACAATTATTACAGTATTGCAGTAGTCTGCATAATAGTAAGTCTTCTATTTTTTGTTTGAATAAAAATTCAAAATAGAAAGCATGAGTAATATCAGAGGGGCCTGGAGACATGACTGATGAGCAATGAAAATGTTATTTTAGAGCCAGGAATGTCTGCATTGTTCATTCTGAACCTTATTTTGAAATATTTTTTAGTTTTCGTGAAATTGGCCAAATTGCAAATTTCTGACCACATTATTAGGTAGTTGAAATCGGTAAATGGGCAGTTTCTTGTACTCAATCAATAGACAAAATGGAGTTCTAAAGAAATAGCTATGAGTTTGGGCGACTGGAACAATGGAATTAGCCGAAAATAGGGCTCAAAGTGGGCGAAATCGCCGATTTGTAAACAGCGCCGAGGTCGCTAACTTCGCGAGAGCATAATTCCGTCAGTTTTCCATCAATTTTCGTTTTTTTGGTGTCATTACAATCGGGAAAAGATTCTCTATCATTTCATAAGAAAAAATAATTTTTTTTTTAAATTTTGCGACACCAGGAGACACCTCAGGATTGGGGGTTGCGACAGTCAAAGGGTTAATTCTTTTAATAATAATAATGCTGCCATGCACTTTACCTGGTATACTCAACAGACTTCTTCCCTTTTACTTCTTACACTCTCCTTTGTCCCCTTTGCCTTTATAAAAAGGAGCTGTGCATGCAATTCCCTTGATTTGTTTTCCCTGGAATACAGGTGAGATAGGCACATGATTATACTATTTACTTGGGAAATCCTAGAGGGTCTAGTCCCAAATTTGCACACGAAAGTCACTTTCTACAAAAGCAAAACACTTGGCAGGCAGTGCAACATCCCCCTAATGAAAAGCAGAAGTGTCACGAGTATACTCAGAGACAATACAATAAATGTCAGGGGCCCAAGACTATTCATCTGCCTTCAAGCATACATAAGGGGTATTACCAATAGACCCCTGGCTGTCTTCAAGAATGCACTGGACAGACACACAAAGTCAGTACCTGACCAGGCTGGCTGTGGTTCATACGTTGGTCTACATGCGGCCAGCAGTAATAGCCTGATTGAACAGTCCCTAATCCACCTCAAGGCCTGGTCTGTGACCAGGCCACAAGTGTGTTGATCCCCATAACCCTCTCCAGGATACTCTCTGCCAATCCCTAGGTACCTTCCCCTCTTGCATACTTTTATTATATACAAGCACCAACCAATAGGTAGTAGGTTGGTAGACAGCAACCACCCAGGGAGGTACTACTGTCCTGGCAAGTGAATGTAAAACAGAAGCCTGTAATTGTTTTACATGATAGTAGGATTGCTGGTGTCTTTTTTTCTGTCTCATACACATGCAAGATTTCAGGTACGTCTTGCTACTTCTACTTACACTTAGGTCACAATACACGTACATGTACAAGCATATATATACACACCTCTCTGGGTTTTTTTCTATTTTCTTTCTAGTTCTTGTTCTTGTTTATTTCCTCTTACCTCCATGGGGAAGTGGAACAGAATTCTTCCTCCGTAAGCCATGCGTGTTGTAAGAGGCAACTAAAATGCCAGGAGCAAGGGGCTAGTAACCCCTTCTCCTGTATATATTAATAAATGTAAAAGGAGAAACTTTTGTTTTTCCTTTTGGGCCACCCCGCCTTGGTGGGATACGGCCGGTGTGTTGAAAGAAAGAAAGAAAGAAGCACCAACCATTCAGAAACTATATCTCCACCTGATTTAACATTTCTATCTTAATCCCATCAATACCAGCTGTTTTACCCCCTTTCATTCTACCCACAGCCTCATGCACCTCCCCCACACCTACAAGAAATTATACCTCCCTCCTCCTTCTCATTATTATTATTATTAATCATATTATATTTTTATTATTATTATTATTGTTATTATTTAGGCTTTCAACTGTATTCCTATATTATTCAGATTCAATGTTTAATTATCTCCTATTAGTAGATGAATGGTTCAGAGAACCGACATGTTGATAAATTAGACACATGTGCAACTCTTGGGTATCTTTATTGAGGAAACGTTTCGCCACACAGTGGCTTCATCAGTCCATACGTAGGAGAAACTTGAAGAACAGGAGGAGAATGAGGTAATCAGTCCCTCAACCTTGAATCGATGTGTTCAGTCCATCAATCTTGAATAGAATACGGCATATCAGCGGAGAAGCAGCTTATAAACCGTATGGCAGGAGAGGTGCAGCAGTCATAGGTCGTGTCACATTTGTTCAATGTGGAAGTAGGTCGTGCCCAAGAATTAGGCAAGCGAAGAATTCCTAAGTACAGTGGACCCCCGCATAACGATGGCATCGCATAGCGATTTTTCCGCATAACGATTACTTTTATCGCAAAATTTTTGCCGCGCATACCGATTAAAAACCCGCATACCGATTTTCGTCCGAGACGCGTCCAATGTGCCCTCAGCCAGCCTCACATGTGCCGCTCCGTCCCATTGTTTACCAGCCAGCCTCCGCGGTAACATCCAAGCATACACTCGGAATATTTCGTATTATTACAGTATTTTCGGTGCTGTTTCTGGAAAATAAGTGACCATGGGCCCCAAGAAAGCTTCTAGTGCCAACCCTGTGGTAAAAAGGGTGAGAATTAGTATGGAAATTAAGAAAGATTTTGAAGGGTTTGGGGCTAACCCTGAGAAGCCTATGCCAGTTGTGGAATCCATTGTGCCTACTTCAAAGATTAAGGAAATGTGTGCAGAGTGGGTTGAACTGCAAACCTTTATAGATGAAAATCACCCTGACACAGCTGTTGCAAGCCGTGCTTGTGACTATTTCAATGACAATGTTATGGCCCATTTTAGGAAAGTCTTGAAGGAACGGGAGGTACAGAGCTCTATGGACAGATTTGTTGTGCGACAGAGGTCCAGTGACTCTCAAGCTGGTCCTAGTGGCATTAAAAGAAGAAGGGAAGTAACCCCAGAAAAGGACTTGCTACCTCAAGTCCTAATGGAAGGGGATTCCCCTTCTAAACAGTAAGAAGATAATGCTCTCCCCTCCTCCCATCCCATCAATCATCACCAGATCTTCAATAAAAGTAAGTGTCATGTAATTGTGCATGCCTTTTTCAGTTTGTGTGTATTAAAATTAACATTTCATGTGGTAAAAAAAAATTTTTTTCATACTTTTGGGCGTCTTGCACGGATTAATTTTATTTCCATTATTTCTTATGGGGAAAATTCATTCGCATAACGATTATTTCGCATAACGATGAGCCCTCTTGCACGGATTAAAATCGTTAACCGGGGGTCCACTGTATTAAGATCCCAAGAAGTTGCAGTGTCTGACAGATTTGTAGATGAATGGTTCAGAGAACCGACATGTTGATAAATTAGACACATGTGCAACTCCACATTGAACAAATGTGACACGACCTATGACTGCTGCACCTCTCCTGCCATACGGTTTATAAGCTGCTTCTCCGCTGATATGCCGTATTCTATTCAAGATTGATGGACTGAACACATCGATTCAAGGTTGAGGGACTGAGTACCTCATTCTCCTCCTGTTCTTCAAGTTTCTCCTACATATGGACTGATGAAGCCACTGTGTGGCGAAACGTTTCCTCAATAAAGATACCCAAGAGTTGCACATGTGTCTAATTTATCAACATCTCCTATTAGTGTTTATAATAATTTTTTTGAAGAAACCAGTGGAATGTTCTCTGTCGGCTGACTGAGGAGGTGTGATTGCTCGAGGGTAGGGGGACTTCTGGTGCTGGTGGACAGCTCTTGATCCTTGGTATTGGAGCCAAGCTTCCTCCAGAATCAAAGCTGATGATCTTCCATTGACCAGGGGCCATATGACCCCTGTGGTTTTTATCTCCCCCCCACCCCATGGTTTATTATAGGTGTTCCTTGAGTTACAATGGTGTTGCATTCCAGTCAACCCATTGTAAGTTGATAATGTCTTTAGTCGATTACAAATATCTTCTTTCTTTCAACACACTGGCCGTATCCCACCGAGGCGGGGTGGCCCAAAAGGAAAAACGAGAGTTTCTCCTTTTACATTTAGTAATATATACAGGAGAAGGGGTTACTAGCCTCTTGCTCCTGGCATTTTAGTCGCCTCTTACAACACGCATGTCTTACGGAGGAAGAATTCTGTTCCACTTCCCCATGGAGATAAGAGGAAATAAACAAGAACAAGAACTAGAAAGAAAATAGAAAACCCAGAGAGGTGTGTATATATATGCTTGTACATGTATGTGTAGTGTGACCTAAGTGTAAGTAGAAGTAGCAAGACGTACCTGAAATCTTGCATGTTTATGAGACAGAAAAAAGACACTAGCAATCCTACCATCATGTAAAACAATTACAGGCTTCAGTTTTACACTCACTTGGCAGGACGGTAGTACCTCCCTGTGCGGTTGCTGTGTACCAACCGTATACTACCTAGGAACTAACTAAATACCAGTATCAAAAAGTAAATAAATGAATGTAGGTTTATCATATCAATAAATGTACAGTACAATAAAAAGTTTTACAGTGCAATGACTTGATTACCCCAGGATGATACAGATACAGTACATGTAGTGATATGTTGTACAGATACAGTACATGTAGTGATATGTTGTACAGATACAGTACATGTAGTGATATGTTGTACAGATACAGTACATGTAGTGATATGTTGTACAGATATTCACCATTGCTAGCCCGGGAACACATATTTGAGTGTTAAAATATTGTAAGTTGAACCATTGTAGAGCGAGGAGCATCTGTGATGGGAACAAACAAGTGATGGTGAATGGGTTTTCTTCTCCAGGTCAGACTTGACGGTGAATGACGTGGATAAAATCAAAAAGGTTGGAGGGAGGGGGTAAAGGAGGTTTTGTGGGCGAGGGGCTTGGACTTCCAGCAAGCGTGCATGAGCGTGTTAGATAGGAGTGAATGGAGACGAATGGTATTTGGGACCTGACGATCTGTTGGAGTGTGAGCAGGGTAATATTTAGTGAAGGGATTCAGGGAAACCGGTTATTTTATATAGCCAGACTTGAGTCCTGGAAATGGGAAGTACAATGCCTGCACTTTAAAGGAGGGGTTTGGGATATTGGCAGTTTGGAGGGATATGTTGTGTATTTTTCTAAACTGTTGTATTTCTGAGCACCTCTGCAAAAACAGTGATTATGTGAGAGTGAAGTGAAAGTGTTGAATGATGATGAAAGTATTTTCTTTTTGGGGATTTTCTTTCTTGTTGGGTCACTCTGCCTCGGTGGGAGATGGCCGACTTGTTAAAAAAAAAAAAAAATCTATGCCTCAATTTAATAAAATTGTTTACCTGGGTTGAAATATATTACTGTAATTGATTTTAGAAATATTTAGGTTTGCATGTTCTAATTAAAAAATTGTTTTTTTTTTCCAGTTGTGAGGTGTTGCAGCACTGTGGGTGTGGTGTTGCAGCACTCCGGGTGTGGTGTTGCAGCATTCCATTCAGGAATTTTATGACTCCAGTGGAAAATGTGAATCGTATTTATCCTCAGAAAACATTGTCGGGCCTCAAAAATTCCCGACAAAAAAGTGCGAAATTGAAAGTACTCTTGATAATGTTATGAATGTTGATTGATTAATGTTGGATAAGGAAAATGTTGATTGAGGAACACTGTTAAGAATATTGTATAACATGGTGTGTTGTGCATTGTTGCAGACACAATATTGTGTGTTGTAAATTGTTGCAGACACAATATTGTGTGAGAAATGGTCTGGTGATACCAGGAAGGTGTGGACAAAGACAATTATGTACAGTTCGGGACATCTTTATAGGAAACGTTTCGTCACTAGTGAGTGTGTGAGTGCAAGTGTGTGTGAATGAGTGAGTGTGTGTGAGTGCTACAGTGCTAATACAGAGATAGGTAAGAACCCTGTATATATAGTGGCAAGAG